GATAACTGATCTTTTTAATAACTCATACATATTTCCATTCAAATGAGATGGGCCTTTCAACGTATTTTTAAAAATATGGTTTATTGCTTAAATTGTTATCACAGGTAACAACTATGTCCCAAGCCAAACAACTTGTTCTGAGCCTCCTTTTGGGTGAGTGCTGAACAGAGCAAAGCGTGGAATGGGATCGTATCTTGCAAATGGCTGTAATAGGTCGCCCCATAACTGCTGGTACCTTGCCTGGAGTTTGATGCAGCAGGACCTCATTTCAAAGGGGACTTAACAGTGGCCTCCCTCAATCTGCTGCTCTCCTCCAGGCCTCTTGGAACTGCAGCTCAGAAGGGCATCTGACACGGCCAGCCTAGGAGCAGGACGAGTAGGGAAAACTCCGTCTCAAGCCGGACTGGCTATTTTAGTTACCTACAAAAGTGACGCTGCTTTGAAGGGGCTCCTTAGGACCCTCTGGATGTAACTCCCATAGCTGAAAGCTGGCCAAGATAGAAATGCTGTCATGAGAGTTTCACTATGAAGATATTTCACATGTTATCATGAAACCATCTCTGTTGATATTATCTAGCCCTGTAGCCTCTTCTGTCTGTGCATCAGAGCAATTTACTTGGGGAAATCAGTATAAGAAAGTTAAAGGGAAGGTTAGAGAAACCTAAAAAGAGCCACGTTGGGACATCTGGAGAAAGAAATGGCAGACTGACGAGAGATCCATGAAACACGGTGTTGACACAACCCCCATGAGGAACAGAGAGCCCCAAGTAGGCCAGCTCTTTGAACCTCTCTAGAGAAGGACTCTCTGGACTTGGGATTCTATTCTACTGAGCAGTTTGAAAACATGTAAATGTGAGTAGATAAATAGGTACCCTTTCATCCCATGCACCTTGGCTGGACACAAGACCATTCAGACAATGCTGGCTCCCTCAGCTAGGATACAGAGAAGAGCCTTGCCTGCAAGACTCAGACACAACTGGACAAGGGAAACCTTTACCTGTTAGGTTATTTTTCTTAAGAGATGAGAAGAAGAAATCATTTGTTGCCTTCTAAGAAGAGGTGATAAATTACTAAAATTGTTTATACTTGTGATGAAGGGAGAACTCACTTCCTTATATATATATATATCTTTTGTCTTTTTTACCATATTCTTTTTTATTCTTTCTTTCTATTTCTCCACTTTTTCTTTTCTGTGCCATTTTTTTTCTTTTTTAGTTTTTAGTAGCTTATCTTTGTAATTGCAACCTTTAATAACTTATACTATTTTTAAAAAAGAGCCCTGTTGGATTATGATGTCCTGTCAATGTCCAGCACTGATCAGTCACCTATTCCTGAAGCAGATCAGGAATTATTTCTTCAACTGTTCCTCCCTGACCATTGGCATCCGGTACATCGGGCGTCACCTTCCCACTGAGACATCTAACACCGGAGAGCATCTGAAGCAAAGTGGCCGGATTCATACAGTGCATGAAACCGTATTGCTGGAGTTCTGATTACAATAGGTCAAAACTTAACAAATGGCATTATGGCTCAAGGGAACATATCAAGCAAGCACCAAGTCTGAGTTTGAGATAAAATTTAGCCACAAATCTCAACCATCTCAGCATTTTGTATTCTCTGCCACTTGTGCCTTTAGCAAAGGAACATAAACCCAGGGCTAGGTTAGTATGGAATGGAAGAACCCAGCTGTTGGGAGCAGCATGGGAGCTTGAAATAAGGCTGAAAAAATAATGAGTTTGTGTGTAGGTCCTTGGGAACACAACTTACGCTCTGCAATTAATGAGCAGCAATTGAGTCTCCCAGCCTTCTTTAAAATGAGGACCTGGAAACGTGGGGGCAATTTATTTTTACCTACCGCGATTGACAGAGAAGGTTTCAACCTGCTTCACACCCTCCTTTTGGAAGGAACACGGGAAAATCTCGTCCATACAACAGAATATGACTTCTGGGAGCAGCGTGCCCATGTCTGGGGAGAAAGGGCAATTTCTTTCTTCATGGGCAGCCTGTTTTGGGTGCAGCCCTTCATGCAGTGGTGCAGAAAAAAAGTTGGAAACTCCCTTGTATTTTCAATATATTTCTGCATAAGAATGACCTAAAGCATGGAGTGTTTAGTTGCTGTCACTGCTACCTAAGTCAGGCCCACCAGTTGTCAAAAGCAAAGTTTTGCCTACTTTTGCTACACACAAATATGTAGCTTCAGATCATTTTTCTCAATACATGCATGAACAAATATAATTTTTGACTCATTTGGTGGAATGGATTCTCTTTATCTAGTTTCAGGACTTGGGTGGAGAAAAGTCCATGTATTAGCTCATATCTATGCAGAAATATTGAAAATTCTAAATAGCACCACTGCATGGAAGGCTTTGAAGATTATCTACACGCTTTGATGAAGAAACTCTGCCAGTAATCGGACAGACTTGGCACCTTCCAAATAAGCTGGGTTACAGGGGATGATGGGAATTGCAATCTACAAAGACGGTAGTCTTGGAAGGTGGAGGTTACCTGTGTTTTGGGGTAAAGCTCTAGTGATTTTCAAACAGAATGAAAAGAAATCAGTTTTTAAGACTTCATCTGCAACTGCAGGTATCAAGAACTATATACTTAAGACCTGGAAGGAGGCAGCTTGAGCTTGTTCCTTCATCCACTATATCCTGATTTGGCTCAATCTGTGGGTTTTTGTCATAGAGTAACCAGCATGGTGGACTTTGAATGTAGGAAATGAGTTCCTATCCTCTTGCCAGGCATAAGAGCCAGCATGGCCTCGTCCTTCACAGGTCTGGCAGATTACAAAGCTGCACTGAGAAAAGAAAGGCAGGGCATAAATACACGAATTAAAAAGATTCCCCCCCCCACCCCCCCAACACACATTTTGATCTTACAGCAGTAAAGTTTAACCAATAATAATAAAAGTCTTGCTAATAAGGCAGGTGGAGGCAACACTAACAAAATTCACAATGTTATAAGTCCACTTCAAATCCAGTTCTTGAATCCCCTCCCTCAAACAACATCCATCCACATTCCAAGGGCCGGTTTTTCTTGAGCGCTTGCAGGGAAGTTAAAGTGATATTCCACTTATAAAGTCTCCTTCTCGCCCTGCATTAATCAGGGGACAACTTGCCACAGCCTACTTGTTGCAGGACAGCTTAACCATTCTATTTAATTATTTATTTAAACATAAATAAAAAATATTTTAATTTTTGCCATTCCCATTGCATTCTGTCCCTCCTTTTGCATCCTTTCTTTAATGATTCTATTCCACCCGTTTCTTTGATATTAATGTAACTCTCGTCCTGCAGCAAGTTGTCCTGTGGCGAATTGTCATAGACCTGGGATCTTTTCTTTCCCCAACTGAGCATTCAAGCACACTTGGGAATGATTTCAGGAATGCAAGAACTCTTCTATTGGTGCCAGTTACTCAGATGCAATGCTAACACTTTTCATGGACCAGATTGCAATTGCTTGGCACACAATTATGGATGCATCTTAGAAGACCCCACTGGAAAGGAGTAGTAGAGAGGGTGATCTGTCTGAGGAATCAGGGGACTGGTTCGGTATAAGGCCCCAGTTTCAGTTTTCTGACAAAGTAATGGATTACTTTTTTTTACTTGCCCTAAAACTAAGGTCCAACCAAGAAAACAGTAAGTTTAAAACAGGCAAATGCAAATGCTTTTTTGCAAAAGGACCATTAATAGGGCATTAATTGTAATCGTGACCAACCCCCAAAAGGGGACTAAAACATTGAACGGCAGACACATTGTCCTTATCTTGGATTGCTTCATAAAACGGATAACTGTGCAACATAGGATTAACTATTGGGGGCCAAGTGCTTATGGGTTCCTATGAAAGACCCCTTTGGCTATTCTCCTAAGAAACAAGAGAGTTAACAAGACCCTCCTCTCTTTAACCTGATTTGGTGGATCATCTGATTGTACAATTTTCAGAACTACATTAAACTATAATTCCAAAGAATTTTTTTGAAGAAATTAAGGGGATATAAAATCCATATATTTGTGACAGAGGTGGGATATTATCCTCTCCCTATTTAAGAGGCAAAAACAGGATGTGTTCAGCTCTTCTCTATGGTGCTGTCAAACTTCATTGTTCTGTAAAGCTAGAACATTTTTATCTTTTTCTTTTTTGCATTGATTATCCGACAAATTGTGGGAATAAGAGGACTTACACAACTGCTCAAAATAATTTGGAAGCAGCAGCAGCAACAGCTAATGGAGCCCTGAGAACCCAGGTGGAAAATATCATGTGCTTCGGATTTGTTTTTGTTTTGTTTTAAAGAAAGAACACTGAAGGCCTCCTAACCGTTATAAGTGCTTAATGCACAAAGAATAAGATGCCTGCAATTGAAGTCATCGTGAAGCCAAATACTTTGTTTAGTCCAAGGAAAAGTGTCTCCAATATGACCACCAAAAGGAGAGAGACTAGGGCAGTGATGCCTGAAATACAGGATAGCATGTCCTCCTTAAGAATTTAACCATGGTAGCCAAAAAGCAAAACAGCAACAAGATGAACTATTTTCCAGGAGTCGATGTGGGACAAGGAAGAGACATATAACATCTTATTATCTCCAGCAGCAAATGTAGTTCAGTTCTCCCTATTCAGGTCCCCTTCAAATGTGTGGATTTTATCTTCCATAATCCCCAGCCACAAAAGTCATACCTTCTGGAGATTAGGGGAGTTATCACTCAGTACATCTGAAAGGCATGGAGTTGGGGAGACCTAAGCTAGTTCTGTTATTGGCCCCAGGTTTTTGGACAGTTTCATGGGAATGTTCCCATTAGGCTGTTTTCCCTGCAGAGTCTTCCTCTTCATTTTGCAAAGTTTTGTCAGACTTTCTTTTTCCCACAGCAAAAACGGGGAGGTTTTAACTGAGCCAGTTGAGCAGGAAGTCTAATGGTACAGTATTTCATCTCTTGGTTGCCAGATCTTGGAGAGGAAAATGAAAAGAGGAAGGTGAAAAGAGGTGCAGCCCTTTCCATCAGCTGTCATGCTTCAATGATGTTCACTGAGGGCTTGTTTTTTGGAAACTGGAAGAGAGAAAAGGAAGACAATGATGAATGTCAAGACATTGTGCCTTAGGATTGTCTAGATCATGGGTGTCCAACCTCAGCAACTTTAAGACTTGCTGGGGAATTCTGGAAGTTGAAGGTCCAGGTTTTAAAGTTGCCAATATTGGACACCCCTGAACTAGAAGGTGTCTACCAAAAGTGTTAAGTCAGCTGGAGGGCGGAGCTGGCGTCACGATGACACAGCATGCAATCTTGGAGGTCTGAGATCGCTGCCGATATCTTTGCTCCTGGACGGTCCTATCGGATCTAAACCATCCCGAAGAGACGGTGAAAGTGAAGAGCGCATCCTGTCAATCCCAGGGATACCGCAAAGTCCCTGGTAGATCCAGGAGAAGCTCTTTTTGCCAGCAGCAAAGAGGCAGCCATTAAAGCTGCTGAAGTTGGGACAGGTCCGAAATGAAAGAGAACGGAAAGAGAAAGTGTGTCGGTTTGGTGAGAACTTTTTCTTTATTCTAAGATCTGAAAGGACACCCTAAGGAAAAGAAAGAATCTGTAAAAGTTTTGACAGAAGTGATTAAGCGGCAATTTTAAACAGGAATTTCATAGTAATGTTTTTTTTTTCTCATTGCTGGATTTTCTATACACGATCTTGTATTTTGAAACTGGACTGGTTTTTTCGTTTACATTTTTTTTTCTTCTCCTTTTTGATTATGTAATATTTTAGGCTAGAGGCTCCCTTTAGTTATCTCTTTTTTAAAATATCTTTTTCTTTTATTAATTCTTATTATATCTTGCTTGGAAAAGGAGGGGGAAAGTGAGAGCAAAGAAACTTTGTAACACTGCCAACTAGGCTTGAAAATATTCTATTTCCCTGTGACCAGACAAAGCTGAGAAAGAAAGAACTGAGACTCTTTTTCAAGGACATTCCTATTTGATAAGATAGAGGGAAGAGCATGGGAGAGTATTATTGCAGGTGCTCTTCTGGGTTTCTATCAACAGCTGGCGTCTGGTGCTGAAACCGAGGTGGGGAAAAGGTGATAAGTTTTTGGAGAAGAGAGCTATAATAAGAGCCTTGGATAATTAAACAAACTGCAGTGTGCTCTTTTTACTTTTTCTAAGTTGTGCTATCCCTCCTCACCAGGTTTATTGTATTTCATTTTATCTTTTTTTTTCTTGTAATAACTATTTGGGGTTTTGGCTTTGTTGGAGCTTGTCTTTGTTTTTCTTTTTTTCTTTGGAAGTCCAATCTCTATGTTTGCTTTTTATTTTAAAGGAAAAGCTTTAGTATTAATGGGTTTTTTTAAGGGAATAGCCTTTTTTTTCTTCCTTTTCTGGTATTTTTGTTTTTTCCTCTACCTTTCTGGTTTATTCTTATGCACTCTTTCTTATTTGAGACCTTTTAATTGGATTAAGCTGTTGAAGAACTTGAAGAATTTTTCTTTTTCCTTTCCCCCCCTTTTTTTCAAACCTTTTTCTTCATCTAACTATTGATTGGATTAAGGTATACAAGAACCTGAAGAAATTTTGTCCTCCCTTTCCCCCCCCCTTTTTAAATCATTATTATTGGGCTTCTTTTTCTACTATTTTTATTTTTGAGCTATAATTGGTTACTTCACAATTGGATTAAGGTTTAGAAGAACCTGAAGATTTTGAATTGCTTAAAATGAGTAGGAAATTTGCAGCTCCTGGTTCTTCAACTTCTACTTCTTCCTCTCCACCATCTGGAGGACAACGTTCTATACAGACAATGTTAAAGCAAGAAAAAGAACAAGAAAAAGTGACTGCAGATGATTATGCAAGGAATTCAAAATATTCAAGCAAGATCAGAAAATATTGAAAAGAGAATAGAGAACATTGAACAAAGAACAGAGAACATTGAACAAAGAACAGGGAAAACCGATGAAAAAGTGAAGACCATCCAACAAATGATGTTGAAGTATGATGAGAGATTCCAAAAAATTGAAGAAGATACACAAAGAGACCAGAAGATTGGAGATATTGCTAATAGATTAACAGTAGTTGAACAAGATAAAAGTGATATGTTGAGAAGGGAGATGGATCGATCAGAATTCTATCTTAGATTCCAAAACGTAGAGGAAGAAAAAGGACAAAACTTAGCTGAGATAATGATAGAAATACTGGCTGAAGCTTTGGAAATAACTCAAGAAAAGATGATGGATGGAATATATGAGGTTTATCAAGTTTTCACAAGATATGTGATGAAAAATAGCTTACCAAGAGAAGTTCACATTAGAATTACAAAGAAAGCCATTTAAAACACAAATATTGCAAATGGCAAAAGAGAAAACATTGAAATATAAAGAGAAGGAGATTGTGGTCTTGAAACAAATACCCAGAAGAGTGAGAGAGATGAGAAGAGAATACCGATTCCTGACTAAAATGCTACTTAGAAAAGAGGTGAATTATAGATGGCTGATTCCAGAAGGTTTAATGTTCACATGGCAAGAACAGAGACATAGAATTGACTCAATTGAGAAAGTGGAATTATTTTATACAGAATTTTTTGGAGGGAAAGAGGAAGAGGCAGAAAAAGAGATCTCACTAATTGAATTCCAAGAGGACTGCCAAATGGCGACTGAAAAAGAAGGTGCAGTAGGTGGAAAGGTGGAAGCCAAAGAACAAGGTGAACCAAGATCTACGAGAGCTGCTAAACTTAACTACAAAATATAACTATGGTAGAGAAAAAACTGATTACAGTTAATGTAAATGGACTTAATTCAGCCGTTAAAAGAAGGAAAACCTTTCATAAATTAGAGAAATTTAAATTTGATATAATTTGTCTACAAGAAGTACATATTAAAAAACAATATGAACAATTGTTGATACAGTCAAAATTAGAGAAAATATTTACTTCCTTGACACAATGTAAGAAAAGAGGAGTGGTTTTATATATTAAAGAGACCACCCCAGCAAAATTGATTTATACTGATGACAACGGAAGAATACTAATGGTGGAAATAATGGATAATAATACGAAAACACTCCTGATTGCAATCTATGCTCCGAATGACAAACAAGAAGAATTCTACAAAAAATTACATATGAAAGTAGTTGAACTGGTCTATGCTAATATAGTTATGATGGGAGATTTTAATGGAATTGTAGACAATAAATTGGACTATACAGCACAGAAAAAAAATAAAGCAAAACAGAAAGACTCTCCCTAAATCTTTTTTTAAAATGGTAGATGAAATAAACTTAAAAGATACATGGAGAGAAAGAAATGCTAAGACTAAACAATACACCTTCTATTCAAATAGACACTTTTCATGGTCCAGAATAGATATGATATGGATGTCAACAGAATTAATTAATATTCAAGAAATAAATATTGAAACAAGTACTTGGGCAGATCACAATCCAATGACAATTAAATGGAAAGGACAAACAAGAAGATCTAGATGGATGTTAAATAATACTATATTAAAGGAAAAAGACTTTGTACAGAGGATGGAGAAAGAACTGGCCTTTTTCTTTAGAGAAAATAAAAAAGAAGACACATCAATGCAGAACGTATGGGATACAATGAAGGCATATGTTAGAGGCTTGATAATAGACTATACAAGGAAAAGGAATACTATGAAGACTAGCCTCTAAGGCCTTAGAGGATGAGTATAAAAGACTTGAAAAAGAGCTACAGAAAATGCCACAGAAAAAGGACATCAAGCTAAAAATGGATATAATTAAACATAAAATGGGTCAAATAGAAAAAGAAGAATTAGCACAGAAAATTAGAGGTGCTAAACAGAACTACTTTGAAGACGCAAACAAACCAGGTAGATGGTTAGCATACAAATTGAGAAAGGAGAAAGAATCAAGGAAAATATTGCAATTAATAGATGACCAAGGCCAAGTTTGCTATGGTAGTAAAGAGAAGAAAGAAATCATCCGAGACTTCTATGGGAAATTATATATGCAAGAGAATATTGATGAGGAAAGAGTCAAACAGTACCTACAGAATGCTAATTTACCTCAGATACCTAAAGAGATTGAAACAATGTTAGAAAGCAATATAACAATGATGGAGTTAACTGAAGCACTCAAGAAGCAAAATAATGGAAAGGCACCAGGCCCAAATGGATTTCCAGCGGAATTTTACAAAACATTACAAGAATCGTTGAATCTTCCATTGCTAGAAGTTATGAATGAAGTTATGTTAAAGAAGAAGATACCTAAATCATGGTCAGAAGCCTATTTCAAAAGAGGAGGCTGATCCATTACAAATTAAGAGCTATAGACCCATTTCTCTACTAAATGCAGATTATAAAATTTTTGCTTCAATATTGGCAGAAAGACTTAAAAAATATTTAAATAATTTTATTCATCCCAATCAAAATGGATTTCTGCCAAAGAGACAAATTAAAGACAATATGAGAGTAATCTTGGATACTTTGGAATACTACGAGGCACATCCTGAAAAACAAATGGCTCTGATATTTCTAGATGCACAGAAGGCATTTGATAATGTGAATTGGCGATTCATGTTGTTACTGTTGGAACAGATGGGTTTTGTTAGAAAATTTATTCAAGCAATAGAAGCTATATACTAGAAGCAAACTGCAAAGGTAATGATAGAGGGAGAACTGACAGACTCTATCAATATAAGAAAAGGAACAAGACAAGGGTGCCCACTATCACCTTTGTTGTTTGTGTTAACTTTGGAAGTGCTAAACAGAAATATTAGAGATGAAAAGAATATAAAAGGAATGAAAATCAAAAAGGAAGAATTTAAGCTGCAAGCATTTGCGGATGATCTGGTTTTCATCTTAGAAGACCCTCTAGAAACAGCACCAAAATTGATAGAAAAGATAGAGACATATGGAAAGGTGGCTGGTTTGAAAATAAATAAAGATAAGACAAAGATCTTGACAAAGAATATGCTATTAAGACAAAAGGAAGAACTGGCAGACCTATTGAAAATTCAGGTCACAAATAAGATCAAGTACTTGGGGATATATTTGACAGCAAGATGTAGTACACTAAAAGAGAATAATTATAGCAAACTTAAACAGCAGATAGCGCTAGATCTGGCGAAATGGGAAAATTTACAACTGTCACTAATAGGGAGAATTTCAACAATCAAGATGAATATATTACCCAGAATTTTATATTTGTTTCAAACAATTCCAATTAGGCTTGGAAAAGATTACTTTGAAGATTTAAATAAAATTGTGTTGAAATATATATTGCAAGGTAAGAAAGCAAGAATAAAGTTAAAACTTTTGCAAGGTGCTAGAATTAGAAGAGGATTTGGTTTGCCTAATTGGGAGTTGTACTATCAAGCTACAAATCTGATGTGGATTAAGGAATGGATAACACTAAGAAATACTAGATTGTTGACATTAGAAGGACATGACCCGTTGTTGGGGTGGCATGCTTTTTTATGGTATAAAGGAACTAAAACACAGGGGTATTTTAGAAGACATTATATACAGGAGTCTCTGTGGTTAAACTGGGAGAAGATTAAAAGACAATGTTATTTGAAAATTCCAGTCTGGTTATCAACTATTGAAGCATTTTCTTATCCTATAATATACAAAAAGGAACAAACAGCTAGATATGGTGAAATATTGAAGGAAAAGGGTGAACTCAAATCTATACAAAAGCTAGAGGAACAAGATATAAAGATGAATTGGTTTTCATATGAGCAAATACATTCAAGGTATGATAAAGATTCTAAAATGGAAGGTTTCTATGATAAATTGACTGATTTAGATAAGATTTTGACAGGTACTGATGAAAAGGTGATTAAAAAATTGTATGGATATTTATTAGAAATTAAATTAGAAGAAGAACAAGTTAAAGAAACTATGATTGCTTGGGGGAAGAATTTTGGATATGGGATCAATTTAGAGAAATGGCAAAAATTGTGGTCTCAAAATTATAAAATGACAATGTCAACAGCATATAAAGAAAATTTGTATAAGATGTTTTACAGGTGGCATTTTCCCCCAACAAGAATAGCAAGAATGTTCAAGAATAAATCCAAAAAATGTTGGAAATGTCATCAGACACCTGTCTCATATTACCATATGTGGTGGACTTGTGCGGATGCTAAAAAATACTGGTCTAAAATCCACATGTGGTTGGAAAAAATGACAAAAAAACATATAGACTTGAAACCAGAGATATTTTTATTGGGAATTTTACCTGAAATATATAGTAAAGACTTGAAATACCTGATTGTAAATGTATTAACAGTGGCTAGGATTGTATTTGCTAAAAACTGGAAAAATGAGAAAATACCATCACAGGAGGAAATCATTAAGAAAATATTGGAATGTGCTGAAATGAGTAGATTGACATTTGAAATTAGAGAACAAGAGGATAAACAATTTTATGAAATTTGGGGTCTTTTCTATCAATGGTTAGACAATAAAATACAGTAATGAAATATGTAGACTTTTAGAAAATAATAAATATATAAAGATGTACTTCTTTCTTATTATATTTACAAAATTATTTTAGGATAGATTTGGGATGATAATATGAACTGTTATAAAATAAACTAAGTAAATTATGATTATCTTGTAAAACATGAATGAATAAAAATATAGTCAAATGATTGATTAATAATGATACTAAGGTGTTTAATTTTTGATTGAAAATATGAGATTATATGAAATGTAATTGTAATTGAAGACTACGAAATGGAAGCACAAAACAATTTGTAAACCAACCGGCGCACTGTATGTACATATATGGAAGATAGCTTGATGTTTTTATGTTTTGTTTGTTTATATTTGTTTTTAAAAACCAATAAAAATTTTTTAAAAAGTGTTAAGTCAGCTGAGTGCATGGCTAGAAAGAAGTCCAACTCTCATTGCTCAGGGTTTCTTCTTCTTCCAAAATAGATTGAGGGACTTAGTAAGGGTACCTGAATCCAGGTACCTGAATACACCTTAAAGCAATGGCATTTTATTTATTCTTTTTTTATCTGCCAAACTGAAGAGCTTTTAGTCTACCTGATTGCTTTTATTGGGAATGTTGCCTCACAGAAAGATGCAGGAGATCTGCACAACAAGATGCCCTTGATTAGCAACTGCGATTAGTAAGGTAAGTAGGAGGACTGGTTGTAAGTCACTTTTCTGTTGTAATCTCAGTTGCTAAATGAATGGTTTTAAGTCAAGTATTTCTGCAGTCTTCAAAATGCTGCTAAGCCGCAGCTGGTAGATAATACCTACCTTGGTGATTGCACAACTTCAGTAACATGCTCTTAGGTATTGTCACCCCGTAGATGAATTTAATAGTAAAAATGTAGCTCCTGGTCCCACACTCCTTCCTTAAGACTTTTTAATGGGTGCTCCACCAGTGCCCAGCCAGGCCTGCTGAGCCATCCCTACCAGAGCCCCCCCCCCCACTTCCCCTCTCTTGGCATCATGGAATCTGCCGCCCTGCAACTGTGGGTGCCCTGCCAGGGCCTGGGGAGGGAGTGTCCCAAGAATCCCAGCCCAGCAGTAATGGGCGCACCATGCCTTCTTCATCCCCTGGGCAACCTTTCGTGGCTGGAGTGGGACAGAGAAAGCTGGCACACAGGGCAGAAGGGAGGGTGAAGTAAGTCCCACTTTGGAGATGGAGTTATGGGAACAGATTTTCCCTGGGATAGTTAAACAAGGAGCGAAGAGAGGACTTCTAGGACGGTTAGGATGGTTCTTAAGGCGATACGCTTTGTTGTTCTGTTTTCTTGGACTGCTGCAATGGGTAGAGCAGTTAACCTGCACTTGGACATCTTGCATTTATTAAAATGTGAACTGTACACTATAAAAAGAGTTTCATGGGGGGGGGGGGTTATGATACAGCAGAACGGGAGCCCTCCAGGATTAGTGAATGACACGTGTCTCCAATAGGCTGGCAATCTCATCTTTATCTCAGCCCCGAGGAATTGTGATTGACGCAACCCTTTGTGATTGACGCAACCCTTTGTGATTAACGCAACCCTTTGTGATTGACGCAACCCTTTGTGATTGACGCAACCTTCCTGGCATGCAAAACAGGCCCCCCCGAGAAGAATTCAGGAAAGAAAGAGGAGGCCTCTCCCATATGCCGGAAGTTCTTCCTACGGCCACAGCAAATGCTGGGTTCTGCTGAGGGGGCCAGTGGGGAGAGCCTGGGGGCTCCTCTGGCCCTCTATATGCTGCCTTCTTGGCTGTAGCCCACCATTCATGGCTCCGCCCCACTTCCTAGGAAGGACGATGGAGGGCGGGAGGATAGGAACGGAGTTTCCCCGAGGCTCTGTTGGCCCCGTGCCAGTTGCCTTCTGGGTGCCCTTCCCCTCCCCACCCTCCTCCTCACCTTACTACGCAGGAGGCCCCCACTCTGGTGTTCTGGAGTGCTGTTTTCTGAGGTGTTCTTGGCTTTCTCCTTGTTGTTGTTTGGTTCATTGTCTTTGATGATGTCGTACTGCCTGCAGAACAGGGCAATCACCCCTGAGGGAAGGAAAGAGGTCACAGATCAGCATTTCCGGAAGGCCCCACAGGCGCCTCCAGCCTCCTCCTGGTGCAGGGATGGGGGGAACTGCCCCAGGCGACTTCTCTGCAGGGTGGCTGCTTTGGGCTCTCTCCCTGCCCAAAGTTCTGCAGGGCCACAAAGGCAACTGGGAAGGGGGCAGGTCCACTCATACAGTTAAGCAGGAGGCGTCTCCTCTCGTGCAGTGTCAAAATCTAGAGAACTGACTGAACTGACATTGTTCCAACGAAAGAGGCAGGTGCCATCCCACCTTCAGTCGTGAAGCCTCCTTGGGTGGTGATTAGGGGCCCTTCTCTCATTCTCATCCCCCACTGCTTTGTGAGCAGTTGCTCTGGGAGTAAAAGAGAGAAATCACCGAGGATAAAGCGAGCACCTGGAGCAGCCTTCCTCAACCTTGCTTAGGGGAGCCGGGGAGTCCAAGTTCACACACTTATAAGTTGCCAAACCCTGTTCTGGAGCAGAGGGACTGTGGCAGGATGGGAGTGCTAGTTGGGGAGGCCCAGGAGGCCAGCCTTTTCTGCCGTAGGGTCCACCGTATGGGACATTTTCCCTTTGGAGAATACATAGAACATAGAATAATAGGGTGGGAAGGGACCTTAGAGGCCTTCTAGTCCAACCCCCTGCCAATGGCAGGAGACCCTATACCATTCCAGACTTTCTTTGGGCTTGATGGGATGGATACACGTTGGAAGGGACCTTGGAGGCCTTCTAGTCCAGCCCCTTAACCCAGCCAGGAGACCCTATACCAGGGGTGTCAAACTCGTGGCATCACGGCAGCATCACCTGACATATTGGGGCTTCCCCCCCCTTCGCTAAACCGGGTGGTGGCGTGGTCTGCACGTGGCACATCCGACCCGTGGGCTGCGAGTTTGACAGCCCTGCCCTATAGCATTTCAGACAAAGGGTTGTTCAATCTCTTCTTCAAAGCCTCCAGTGATGGAGCCCCCACAACTTCTGGAGGCAAACGGTTCTACGGCTTAATTGTTCTCACTGTTAGGAAGTTCTAGGTTGCTTCTCTCCTGTTTAGTTCCCATCTGTTGCTTCTGGCTTGCCTTCTGGTGCTTTGTTTGGAGAATAGGTTGACCCCCTCCACTCTGTGGCAGCCCCTCTGTCAACTCATAAAATATTTCTATGGTCTTTTTAGAGTTGCCAACAGAAAGGGAGGGGGGAAAGGGGTTTGAAAGAGCAGTGCGGCAGCTTGGAAATCAAAAGTGCATTCCATAAATAGTTTTTCAAAGATAGTAACTAGGTGACGGAAGTTTCTGCTGCGCAAATATCTAACTGGAGAGCATGATTGTGTGACACATTTTGTGTCATCCACAAAGTGACACCAAAATTTAGGCGTGTCATTTTGAAGTGCAGAGTGTGCTAGTTCGTGCAGGACAGTTTCTACAGTGACTCCTGATATTGGGGATCCCATGGGCGCCCCCTTTATTTGCTCATACATTTCCCTTTTGAACGTGAATAAGATAGGTTGAATAAGATATGTACTGGAATAGCTTCATGATTTCTGTCCTGGTTAGGTTGTTCTGATCTGTGCTGTTCTTCTTGCATTATGAGTCAGAATTAATTAGGCCAGTTAGGTTCCCAGCTCGCTCAGATGCGTCCAGATAGGTCCATTCCATAAATGCAGGTTTCTTTTTCCACACAATACAGCATTCAAACTAATCTTCTCAAGCCCCCTGCATGTTTAGCACTGACATATCTCTTGTCTACTCACAGGTCCTCTGAGGCTTAGGCCAGCCTTCTTTACTTTGGTGGGGGGGGGCTGAGCAGTTCATTTCACTGATTTTAGCCCTCTTGACCAGCTCCTCATAGCACCTGAGGAAGGATCTATATCTAGAGCAGTGTTTCTCAACCTTGGTCATTTGGAAATCTGTGGACTTCAACTCCCAGAATTCCTCAGTCAATCATGCTGGCTGGAGAATTCTGGAATCGAGTTCACACATCTTCAAGCAGCCAAGCTGGAGAAACATTACAAACATTGGTTTGGAGCCTATGCATCAGGACCAACTGGACTATAATGATCTCTGCTGAATAGGGTAAATCTCTTCCCATAGTCTGAGCAAGGTGGTTGCAGTTGCCCTGCCCAATTCCACAGCCAGCCTCCAGCCGACCCACGCCGGTCCTCTGCCACACGTGGACAATGCCTTTCCCACGTGGGAGGCGGATGGACTCCTTTTTGGACCTGGGCCCTGGGAGACCCCGTTTCTTCTAGGACGCATCTCTACATGTGCCACATTTAAAACTTGGACACAAGGCACAGCCTCATAGCTGCAGGGAATCCTTTTAATGGCCACAATGGTGCCCTGCATTGTCAGGCTTCTGTTTGGGAATCGAATCGGTTGGAGGCAACGTTCCACTTCACAAAAGAGACCAAATTCTTTTTCGCTCCTCACTGCTTTGCAGAAAGGCAGGATTGGAGTGGGGTGAGGGCCTTTTTCTTCGACCCCTGGTGTTTAATTCTTTCTGTTGTCATTTTCACAACTCAGTCTTAGCTAGATATCCTCTATTGTATAATATCTTCTAGTCAGTTTTCCAGTGGAACAAAACCCTCCCCAGATTGATTTTCTTTGCTTTCCCCACAGAGCCTCTCAAGAAACGGCACAGAAATGTTTCATAAAACTTGAGAGAAGAATAGGCATTTCTGACATCATCACCCCCACAAAATCAGCAAGGCCCATTGATTTTCCCTTCATTCTCTTAGCAGCTGCGAAAGATTATATCCCTTAGCTGAGACTAAGCTACCATATGCGGCTAGCAGCTTTGATTCCATGTTCTTATGGCGGAATTCTCACCACATGCTAAATGCAGGTTAGCAGCAACACAACTGGTCTGTTCTATCTGTTGCCGGTACAAATAAACCATATTAGGGCTTAAGAGGCGGCTTTTGTTCACAACGTGTGCTATGACACCGGCAAATTCCACGACACACTGGATCATAAATTGCAAAGCCTGTTTTAGCCAAGCATGCTGTATGATTTAATTTAAATACCATGAAAACCTTTTCTCATGTTTCACCTCCAAAATGGTTGGGATTACACATATAGCCAAAGGGCTTCACTCCCAGCACTTCTTGCTACTTAAGCTGGAGATCCACAATTTGTTTTGGGCCCATCGGTCCCTTTGGAATCTAGGAAAATGTCACAAAACCCCCCACAAAACATCTGGCTGTTTGTGCACGGCCAGAAGGAGAACAGTGAGTTGCTGCTTGCCACTTTCTCTAGACGTAAGATGTCACCTTGGTTTACTTTTCCTTTTTCCTTTTTCTGTACAGGTGAGTATGACTCCAAGACACATATTAAACTATAGCTGGCCATATTTCTCTCCTATAAATGGTCTTGGGGGGTCAGAAGATGTTCTAGGGGGAGAAGTTTGTTTTTGTTTTGTAAAGTGCTAAAAATATTAAAATCAGGCAGAGTGTGGATGCCAGTGTTACTGGGTTACTTACTGTTGCAAATCCAATAAGAGTCCCTCCTTCTACTCTGGGCTATCCTTCAGCCCCTTTGACTTGGGGTCCTGCAGTTCCCTTCCTCCTTAGAGCTGCTGTATCTGGGTTTCAGAAATCTGTATGATCCTTAGGCGGCGGCAGCAGCAGCAGCAGCAGCAGAAATATATAGAAAGCCTCGATCCATTGTGTTAACCTCACCCTTCCTAATCCTGGCTGTGGACCCAGGAGATGCTGAGGCCTCCTTTTCCTTCAAAAGAAGGTCTGTGACATTTTCTGGCAGCTCTGTTCCCAAGAGAGGTGGGACGGCTTGCATAATCCTGGCCAAAAAAGCTGCTAACCCCATCACAGAACTAGAGCAATTGAGTGGAGATGATCTAAAAATAAGCAGCCATAGTCAGAGACTATGCAAAATACGGTGTTTTTAAGGTGAATCCAATTAGTCGTCAGTCTGAACATCACACTTCTAAGCAGCACTTCACTGTGGTAGGATGTTCTGTGGACCCAACAATTGTGGTTTGTTTGTAAGTCTCATTTAAGCAAATGTTTTAGTCTACAGCAGGGCTGTCCAACTCAGTTTCATTGAGGGCCACATCAGAATTGGGTTTGACCTTGGAGGGCTGTGGGGTGGGGGCATGATGGGCATGACACGGGACCACACCTCTGCAGACATGGTTTATAAACTTATAAAAATAGGGAGGTGTACATTTCTGTGATTTTGGTTTTTTAACTTTTTTACTTTCTTGATCTACTTGATCACCTTATGAGAGAGGGAGAGAGAGAGACCAAATCAAGAAACTGACTCCATAGGAAGACTATAACTATAAATTGTTGACATGGGGCAGGCAGTAACTTAACAACTGAAGTTTTGACCAACTTCCCCAGGGCTACATATGACCTGGATCCAACCCTGTGGTCACACGATCATACTGGCCCACATTTTCCATGGGTTATGTTTTTGCCAGTTTAGCAAAAAATGCCCACTGCTGACAATGAATGTGCTTAACTATTGTGGCCCTTGCTTAACAACGGGATAAAAGAGTTGGAAGGGACCTTGGAGGCTGCTACTCCAACTCCCTGTCCTGTTCTGGAGAAATGGCTGTCCCATCCTTTCTTTAAACCTCTGTTGATGGCACACCCACAGCCTCTGAAGGCAAGCCCTCCCACCGATTAATTGTTCTCATTGTCGGGAAATCCCTTCTTAGTTCTAGATTAGTTCTCTCCTTGATTAGTTTCCATCCATTGCTTCTTATCTTGCCTTTTGGTGCTTTGCAAAATAGATGGACCCTCCTCCCTCTTCTTTGTGGCAGCCCTTGAAATATTGGAACACTGATATCCTGTTTCCCTCCCCCCTTCTCCTTCTTAAACTAGATAGACCCAGTTCCTGCTACTGTTCGTATTTTGTTTTAGCTTCCAGTCCCTTAATCTGGAGTGGGACTACTCGCCACAGCCAACTCCTTGGGGTCATCTTGCTGCATCCAACTTCCTGTGGGACTTCCCACATCCAATTTG